CGCGCGCGCTGTCCGAATCCTCAAAAAACCAATGGTTTTCCAACATTTATGTTACATGAGCTCGCGCGAGCTACTTTCGCACGCTCTTGCAACGGGGTTCGCGCGCCTGCCAGGGGCCAGAATCCCTTGCGGTTGCGCCATATGTTGCGCCCTCGGCCGCCGAGAATAAAACGCTCCTCTATTGGTTGCGTCATAGGTTGCGCCCTCGGCCGCTGAGAATAAAACGTCCCCCTACTGGTTGCGCCATAGGTTGCCCCAGGAGGCCTTCAAGAGGCCCCAAGAGCCCGCCGTGAGGAGCCAATAAGCCCCCAAGAGGCCCCAACATGCTTCCAAGAAGCCCCCCAAAGCCCCTCAAGAGGACCCCAAGCGGCTCCAGGAGGCTTCCCCCCTTCCCCAAGAGGACCCCAAGCGGCCCCAGGAAGCCTCCGACTGATCACTGGCACATCCGTAGCCATCTCGGATCAAGGTATCGCCTGTGTTCTTGGATGGTCCATGGCTTTGACGGCGAAAGCCCTTGACGAGCAGTATGGCCCGGAGCTGTCGCGGCCTCCCTTGGCCGACTGCGAGAGCCCGTATTATTTGCATCAGGCGCTCGTTGCAAAGGGTATCCAGATCAGTCACCAGGCGTGCAAGACTTGGTGGGGCAAGTATCGGGTTGTGCCTGGCAAGGTTAGTATTTCTAGCGCCCAGGAGCTGGAGGAGCAGCACGGTTCTGCCATCCGCCACCTGGGCATCGAGTATAATACACCTTTCAAATTATGCGGGGCGCTCCGACAGTTGGATCCACCACTGTATGTGACAGATCAGGTCGCAAAGATGTGGCTACTGCAGTATTCTTCCAAAGAGACGCTTGTCAAAGTGCAGAACGCTGGCCATCTGGAGACCTGGTATGGAGAACGTATTCGCACAGACATGCCCGAGGGGACTACTGACGGGGCCGTCTTGAAGCAGTGGCTCCTGGGACATTTATCTCTATCTGCTGACGCCAGGGTATGTCAGAAGTGGCTCAGCACGGACTGGGGCGCCAAGGGAGCATTGAATACTGCCCAAGCTGTGGAGGAATGTATAGGCCAGCGTCTTCGACTCAATCAGTATCGGGAGAGCTTTGCCGACGAGGCCGCCGCGGAGGTCCTCTCGCAGATTCTCTCGGAGAGCGACCCTCCCGTCGCTGTCAGCGGTATGGTTTTGAGGCAATGGTACGTGAAGTATCACCCTGACTCCGGACCTTTGCAGTATGACACGGCTGACAAGCTCGACGCGGCACTTGGTGACCACATGCGCGCGGTATATCCAGGGCTGAAGTACCACACCTTGCATGCCGTGTTGCGTATGCGACGGAAAGCTGTCTTGGTGTCCCGAGGAGTGTTGAGACAGTGGTGCGATGCGTATGCGTCGGTGAGCTCTTCAGTGCAGGCGGCGGCCTCATCCGCCCAGGCCGTCACCAAGCGTGTATTGAAGCGCCCGGCGGCACAGGTCGCAGGCGGTGTATTGAAACGGCCAGCCGCCGCCGGATCTGCCCGCGTGGCCAAACGGCCTGCCGCGGTCGACTGGGAGGAGCCCGTATCCAAGCAGCAGGCCACGGCAGCTTCTTCCTCCACAGATGTGGTTCGTATGACGCTGATGACGGTGGAGGCTCTAGAGGCGGCATGCGGCAAGCGGTATCGAGAGGAGGTCTCCGACCTCCTCTCGATACCGCTATGTAGGAGAAAGTATATTCATAGTGTGACTGGACCTGTTTGCGAAAGCAGGAGAAAGTATGAGCAATGCATGCGTCATCCTTGGGACTGTATAACAGCAGAAACAGACAACATTGCATCGCAGACGGACAGCCATCGGGACAACCATCGGGACAACCATCGGGACAACCATTTGGACAAGCATCGGGAAAACGATCGGGACAACCATAACCATCAGGACAACCATCGGGGCAACCATCGAGACAACCATCGGGACAACGATACCTTCTCTCTTGTGTCCTCCCACATCCCTCAGGAAGTTGCCCTAAAGATGTGACCGACTCCTCTCTCTCCTTCTCTATGTCTCTCGCTTTTTCTCTGCTTCATATCTATCATATGAACACATCTACTTGTGTAATCGCCTTCCCAGGAAATTGCCCCAAAAATGTGACCAACTATCTTGGCAGTGCGTACCATCTCACGTGTACCGTGTACCACATCTTCTCAGGTTGCCTCACACATGTGACGAATCTCTTTCTATCTCTCTCTCCTCTGGCTCTCTGTCTTGCTCTCTCTCTCTCTCTCTGTCTCTCTGTCTTGCTCTCTCTCTCTCTGTCTTGCTCTCTCTATGTCATGCGCAACGAATGCACGATGCGGGGCACATGCGGGGCCCAAACAAGTGATCAACCTCTGCGGGTGTGTACTCCACGCCAGTGTAGTATCCACGAT